GGACCCCCAGGGGGGACGGCGGCGAGAAGGGGACCGGGCAGCCCCTGCGGGTGCACCGAGAGGCAGTCGCTGTTTAGCTGCCTCTCTCCAAACCAGTCCGCAATACTCAGCCGTGAAAGCGGATCTGACGAGCAGAAAGGGACTCCGCTCTAGCATTACAATGCTGCGCGGTCGGCGCCGTTCATACCAAGATACCCAAGGAGGAAAAGCCCTCCTCTGTTTCTTCCACTCCCTACTCCCCAAAAACATGGGAAAAGACTGAAAACAAATAAACAAAATCCCGAGCCTCCCCACAGTCTTTAGAAAATAAAGCCCTCGGGTTCAGAACCCAGTTCTCGCACCTAGCCTGACAGCCAGAGAAGTAAATTCTGTCACTGCCAAAACAGGTGAGCACAAAATGGAAAATCCTCAGTCAGAACAGCAAATCACAGAGCAAAGACATGGCCTCTGGGGAAGGGAGCAAGATCCACTGGTCAGCGCAGTGACCGGTAATCCAGGCAATTAAATCCACTGATTTAACGAGGCTTCAAGCAAAGTCACATCAGCCCTACCCTTCAGTACTCCCGACTGTTGAGCGGCAATGTTGCTTACCTCTTTCACAGCAGCATTACCAGCCTCCAGCTGTCAGCATTTAGAGTAAGCTCATCCATCCATCCATCCATCCATCCATCCATCCATCCATCCATCCATTCCATCCATTCCATCCATGCATCCAATTACGGGCTGATACACTTTCTACAAAGAGTTTAGGGTAACTCACTGTGGGTGTGTAGAACTACGAAATGTACAGCTGTACTGAGATTCAGTTGCAGCACAGAGCCTCACTGGCTTTCCCCAACCCAGTATTACAGTCTCTGTTTTTACCTTCTACCTAATGCTATTTTATTGCTTTAACTCTCTAGCTGTATGGTGAAAAACTTCCACTCTGTAACTTTATAGCCAAACCACTGGTATCTGATCCAAAATGTACCCTAACTCTTTTTTTTCCTTAAAAATACACAAACACTGCCAGGCAAACACACTCATTTTTCATATTACCTTGTCTTGGAAGAGATGACTTGTGTAGTTTTGTAAGCAAGCTCTAACATAAAAGATAGTCTGGCCGCCTTTCCTCCTCTGGACTGCTGGGGTTTGAGTCACAGCTACTGAATCTCTCTATTATTTCTGTGCTAGCTTTAGAGATGCCAAGAGGTTCCTCTCATACTCCACTGACATGCTGGTTCTGGACTTCGAGCCACTCCATGAAGTGACAAGTTTAGCCTAACTGTATTTGAGGACACAGGATAAACTTTCAAAATTAGAAACAAAGCAACACTGTGAGCATAATTAGAAAAAAAAGTCCAGTGTGAATATAACAAAAGTGACATCAATTAAGATGTTCTTCCTTTTGGAAAAAGGATTTTAATGGGTTTAAAACCATTTCTATACAAAAACTGCTCAATGACCAGAATTTGCCTTCCCACGGTGACAATGCTTCTGATTATTGTTTCGTTCAACAGCAACTCCCACAGGTCCTGTAGCAAGGATTATCTCTTTGGCCAGTGGTACCTGGAACTCCTGCAAAAGACAGTTACAAGAAGACTTCAACTCTTGCTGTAAATTCACTCAAGATTGAAAATCTATGATAGGTTACAGTGATTCTGTTGAGAAAGGGTCATCATGCAGACACAACTTTTCTCCCTCCAGTGCTGCCCTTATGTAGTGTTGCTGTTTTATGACTAAGTAATACACAAGGATCGAGCCTCGTAGGCTACACATTATCTGTTCAGAATGAGAATGTTCATATTTGGCAGTACTGTTACTTATCTTCCTCCCAAGCCACGCAAATGTTCTCCCCACCTCTACCTATTTTGTGGCCAAAGAAAGCGACTCCCACATCTATTAACATGAACTTTTACCTCAGCATTTCAAACCTTCCACCCAGAAATCATCTTTGATTGCATTAATACTGACTAAGCTTTTTATTTTTTTTCCTTTAAACCGATGTCAAGTCAAGATGTGAGGCAACCTCTTTGCATTAAACATGTGCTTAAGCTCCCACTGCAATAGAGGAGGATAGCTAGGCCTTGCCCATAGCTCCAGGGCACAGGTGTGGAAACACTCCACCGCTGTGATGAGAGCAGGCTGACAACACACCTCTCAGCTTTCCCCGCCAGGTAGGACATGCTTCGGTTTCCAGATTGTTGAATTTTGTTAGCTCCAGCAAATCTCTGCACAGAAGAAGAAAAAAACACCACCACCACCGTGAGGTACCCACCAAACACAGTATATTCCATAAGATGCATGTGCTCTCATGGTCCCTGCAACTTCAAGGAACACTGCTCGTTTACACCATGGGCTTTATGTTTTAGGACTTCTGCATATGCACGTGCAGCAAGTGCATCCGAGTAAGTGCTGTTCCACTGGTCTCTAACCTTGACACAATAGTGAGGCACAATACCCCACTGATGACAAATCTTACCTATCTAGACAGAAAGATCTGTACAGGTTGTCTCAAATTCACCTATCAGTTTCTTTTTTGCTCCTGAAACAAGTTTCAACTGACACAGTAAAGGGATTGCACAGGGAATTCTTTCCTACAGTATCAGGCATAAATTTGTTCAGCTTCTACAATATGATTTTTAACGAACATCTAAGATGCTCCCTGGTACCACTTGCCCTCCAGTTAAATATGCAGGAAGACAGCACGCACAGGAAAGAGTCTGAAATGCAAGAATGAGCTTCAGAACTTCAAATTAATGCTCAAGCGCCCAATGAGTTCACGCACGGGCACCCTATTACTTCATGCCTGAATGCCCACTGACGTCATGCACCAGCACCCGAACGCTCCATGAGTGAGCACTATGCAGGGTACACGTGGTGGGGTTTAGGTAACCTGGAGTTGGGGGGGACGATGACACAGGAACTGCCCTGTGCTGGTCAGAGGTTTCCCTAAGTTTGTGTTTGATTGCTTATGTTTTCTTTCTTCTCTTCAATCTCTCAATCTCAATTAGCAATAAAGTACATAAAAATTCTCTGAGACTGTTTTCCTAACAACAGTACTTGGTGTAGAGTGTGGGCAACACAGACTTGACATGGCCTAGAGTAACTAGACTGACTGAGATTTTTGAGAGTGCCTTGAATTTGGTACTGGGAATT